GTGAGTGTAGAGAACCGAAGACCCTTTTTACTGGCAAAGAGGCATTCCATCTTAGTCCTCACAGGTGACAACGCATCTGCATCTTGAGTCTTTATTGAGGATAGATGTAGATGTCTATGGGTCACAGTAACCACTTACCATCAGGTGGACTGTGTGCTCGTTTGTCACCCGATCCTATAAAATAAAAATAAAAAAAAATATCTGGTAAGACAGGAAGTCGATGGATGTAGGTGGCTTAGGACTGTGTTGATGCGGTGATGATTATTCACTAGGTTGTTGCACTTTCTTCTGCCTTGAAGTCTGTCTGGGGAGTTATCATCCTCTTACCTATTTCTGCCACCAAGCAGCGGCGTGTGTTAGTGTGAAGAACATTGAGTCAGTATAATCACAGGCTGTGAAGCATTACAACTTAGTGCTTAGTGGAAACATCACATATGCAGCCTTTGCTTGCAGTTTGTTGCAGGTCCTCATGGGCTGCAGTCGCCACTTACCATCAGGTGGATTGTAAGTTCGTTTGTCACTTCAATATTATAAAGACTGATGTTGATGAAGAGAATTGTGGTAGCCAATAAATTTTATTACAAACTTATGTATTTAAGTAGTTATCCATATTTATTATGAATTTTCATATTTTCAGATGGATGAGAACGAGGAGCCCATAATTGTCTGTTTCACTTGTCACGCAAGACTCAATCGTTGCAAAAGTTTACAACAACAGGCTATTGCGTCGAATGTAGTTCTGGAGCAGTTGCTTGCAGGAGGGTCCATGGTATTATCCATTCTATCTCATAGATTTTTTTTTATATAGGATAAGGGTGATAAATGAGCACACAGTCCACCTGATGGTAAGTGCTTGCTGTGGCTCATAGATATCTATATCTATCCTCGATTTCGAATCAAAATGCATTGTCACCCGTGAAGTCTAAGATGGAATGCCTTGTTTCCAGTAAAAAGGGGTCTCCGGTTCTCTACACTCATCATACGAAACAGCAGTGTTAAGCTGCTATTTTACACTGGTATTCTGTGAGAGCCTGGTCCTTCCCTGTCGAGCCGACCTGTTTGTGCTACAACTATACCAGTAATATAGCTGCAACATGGCTCTGCCACGTAAAATATTTTGATTGTTCCATAGGAGGGATATTGACAAATTGGATTGGCAACGGTAGCTTATATTGATCTGAGTTGTTGTCAGTAAGATGCTGCTGCCCAACTCCTGTTTCAGTTTCCCTCTGTCCCTTTTTACGACATCTGCAAGATGGTATGTGGTAGTACGTATTCTACTACACCACCAATGCACTGGCTTTTTTTTAATTAAAAAAATATTGGTTTCAGTCAATACCAAATCCGCATGAGCCTAGATATGAGATTCAATTCACACCAATTTGTCATATAGATATCAGGCCAGTTGAGTGTGACACTGAAAATGATTGTAATAACGAAATTTTTAGCCTTGAATCTGTTAAAGTTGAGGAAGAGAATATCGAAGATGAGAATTCCAAATTTGAAGAAAATGGGAATCATGAAACAGGTAAGGATATACACATTTTGTGATATGGTTAAAATAAGGTACAGTTTACCTAATGGTAAAGTGGCAAGCAATTTGTTACTGTAGCCCATGGACACAAAATAAGAGGGCTTTTTTGAACGGTGGTAGAGCCACGCAGCAGTTTTTGCTGTTGCATGTATGGGCCGGCTCGAGCCGGGTTGGTACCACAACCTCACAGAATAAGCACTCCCTGGACATCCAGAAGTCGAGTGGGCCTGACGGAATCCCCCCAATTGTGCTGAGGACGTGTGCTCCGGAGTTGGCACCGGTCCTAACGCGTCTTTTCCGGTACTCCTACTCCCAAGGCGTAGTCCCGAATTCATGGAAGACAGCTTTTGTCCACCCGATCCCTAAAAAAGGCGACCGCTCAGACCCATCCAACTATAGGCCTATCGCGATCACCTCCTTGTTCTCCAAAATAATGGAATCCATTATTAACTGCCAGCTCATCCGGTACCTTGAGGATCACCAGCTGATTAGTGACCGCCAATACGGTTTTCGTCGGGGTCGATCAGCTGGTGATCTTCTGGTCTACCTGACCCATAGATGGGCGGAGGCAGTAGAGTCCAAGGGGGAGGCGTTGGCCGATAGTCTGGACATTGCGAAGGCCTTCGATCGGGTTTGGCACAAAGCGCTTCTTTCGAAGCTCCCTTGCTATGGGCTTCCCGAGAAATTGTGCAATTGGATCACCAGTTTCCTTGCAGATCGGAGCATCAAGGTCGTTGTAGACGGTGCATGCTCTGACTACAAGCCTATTAACGCTGGTGTTCCACAAGGCTGTGTGCTATCACCAACGCTGTTTCTTCTGCATATCAATGATATGTTGCTAACTGGTAACATTAATTGCTATGCGGATGACAGCACTGGTGATGCTCTATACACCGGCCGTGCCAATATTTCTCGGGAAAACGTCGCTGAGTACCGGAACAAACTTGTGTCTGATTTGCTGAACAAAGTCTCGGATTGGGGGCGACTAACTCTAGTTCTCAGAAGACACAAGTTTGCGCGTTTATCGCTAAAAAGCACCCCTTTGTCGCATCTCTTCAGTTTCAAGGCACTCCCATTCTTACCTCAGCCAGTATTGGAATCCTCGGAGTCGACATATCGAATGACGTGCAGTTTCGTAGTCACTTGGAAGGGAAGGCCAAATTGGCCTCTAAAAAGCTTGGCGTGCTCAGCAGAGCGGGACAGTATTTCATGCCGGCACACCGCCTGCTACTTTACAAGGCGCAAGTTCGGCCTCACATGGAATACTGTTCCCATCTCTGGGCAGGGGCTCCCCAGTGCCAGCTCCTTCCACTTGACCGCATCCAACGCAGAGCGGCTCGAATTGTCGACGACCGAGCCCTTTTCGATCGGCTCGATTCATTGGCACTGCGAAGAGATGTTGCATCCCTTTGCATTTTCTTTCGCATCTACCATGGGGAGTGCTCTGAGGAATTGTTCGGATTAATCCCAGCCGCCAAATTTCACGAACGCACATCGCGGCAGAACTCCCGATACCATCCACACCATCTGGATGATTGGCGGTCCACCACTGTGCGATTTAGAAGATGTTTTCTTCCTCGCACGACCTCCTTGTGGAATCGATTACTATCAGCAATTTTTCCGGACCGATACGACTTGGGACCTTCAAGAAAAGAGCGTACTCCTTTTTAAAAGGCCGGCAACGCATCTGCGATTCCCCTGGTGTTGCAGTTGTTCGTGGGCGGCGGTAGTCACTTACCATCAGGGGAGCCGCATGCTCGTTTGCCCCCTCTCCTATAAAAAAAAAAATGCAAAGTACTGATTTACTGATTTTCCTTTGCCTAAATTGAAAATGCATGTAAAAAGCACTTTTATGGAATAAGTCGCCTATGCGATACTTTATACTGCTAAAACTTTTATTTTTTTACCCTCATTCCCAACAATATATATATAAAAATGTCGTCGGCTTATAATCTATATTGATATATTTACATAATCAGTATAGCGACATTAAACATCGAAAATTAAAACTGTGCTAACCATGATTCCCATCATATTTAATTTTCCACAGTAGGACTGCTGGTCCAAACGCACGCACAACAGAAATAATGTTAGTGTAAAAAAGAATGCTCAATCAACAACATTATGGGTGCCAGCGGAATTGAACCCTGTACATGAGCAGTACTGTGATTTTTTTTACAGCAAACACCTAGACCCTGAGCTGCAAGGGCTTTTTTGGTGTTTTTTTAATGGCTCCCTCTTAATCGTCCCATAAACTTCCATTGCTGAACATGGATGAATCTCTCCCGATGTAGGGTGAATTTGGCTTAATATTCACACTTGGCATTGGATTATATGTGGTAGAGACATGGTGCAGAGTTTACGCAACCTAACGGGTTTTGTAAGAAAAGAACCGTAATATAAGAGACTTATTACACGTAGTTTATGTGGTAGAGTCATGCTCCAGCTATATTAGTAGTATAGTTGTAGCACAAATGGGTCGGCTCGACTGGGAAAGAACCACGCTCTCACAGATTACCAGCGTAAAATAGCTGCCTAATGCTGCTGTAATTCGTATGGTGAGTGTAGAGAACCGGAGCCCCCTTTTACTAGAAACAAGGCATTCCATGTTAATCCTCACTGGTGACAATGTATCTGCATATTGATTCGTAGTTGAGGATAGATGTAGATGTCTATGGGCCACAACTACTTACCATCAGGTGGACTGTGTGCTCGCTTGTCACCCTTGTCCTATAAAAAAAGGATTGTGGATCGCAGAACCAGACATGAGCACCTCTGACAATACTGCCTGTCGCAGGTCTGGTTACTTTACATCTGAAGTAAACGAGGTGGCTATGCCGCCATCTGCCGGAAGCCGTAAGACTTTTCTGGCAAACCCATAGTCTCCTCTTACGAAACCCACCGGACAAAATGTGATGATGAGTTCTCTTACGCCGCACCTACTAGGCAACTTCGACTATATTCTTAATATCTACAAAAAATACTGGTCAATATGTATGTAAGTATAATGTTTTTTCCGTGTGGAATTCGAAACAGCGATTATTAGATTAATGAAATTACAACATGGCAGAAGAACGTCATTAATATAATTCGAATTTAGTTTCCTTAACATGCTCACCATAGAGAATGCCATAAGGCATAAACTCCGCCCATTGTAAACTGTCTAAGGTGTCTTACAATAAAGATACAATGCTTTAAATTAAAAAACAATTTTTAATTTGTGTGTATTTCAGAACAACACCACATACAAACAAATGCATCAAATTCTACTAATTGTAACATAAACGATGTTCGTAAAGAAAACCTGAAAAAAGATAGTCGACCAGTTATTAATAAAGGAAACCATCCTGCAAAGATTATGAAAAAGAAAATTTTGAAACAAAAGAGTGTAAATATACTTACGAAAAAATCATCAGGGGCATCAACAAAAGACATTCTCGCCAAACTCATTTCACACAGTCATAAGACGCAAAAGAACTCAGAACAAACTCCAGTAGCACAACTAACGGAAATATTTAATTGTGATATTTGCGAATTTAAAACATCTCGTAAACGTAACATTTTGGCACATTATAAAGCGCACGTTGCTAGTCAAATGTTCTGTTGTAATAATTGTGATTATAAATGTACAAATAAAAAAAGTTTGATATACCATATGAAAATACATACCGGAGAAAAACCTTTTGCGTGTAATATCTGTGAATATAAATGTATTAGAAAATGTACTTTGCAAACACATATTAAATTACATTCCGGAGAAAAACCGTTTTCGTGTAATATCTGTGAATATAAATGTATTAAAAGAAGTAATTTTCAAAAACATATGAAAATACATACTGGAGAAAAACCTTTTTCGTGTAATATCTGTGAATATAAATGTATTCAAAAAAGTAATTTGCAAAAACATATGAAAATACATACCGGAGAAAAACCTTTTTCGTGTAATATCTGTGAATATAAATGTATTAGCAAATATTCTTTGCAAACACATAGGAAATTACATATTGGAGAAAAACCTTTTTCGTGTAATTTCTGTGAATATAAATTTATTCACAAATGTAGTTTCCAAAGACATATGAAAATACATGCCGGAGATAGACCTTTTTTGTGTAATATTTGTGAATACAAATGTATTAGAAAAAGTAATTTGCAAACACATATGAAATTACATACCGGCGAAAAACCTTTTTCGTGTAATATCTGTGAATATAAAAGTATTAGAAAAGGTGATTTGCAATCACATATAAAAATACACACTGGAGAAAGACCTTTTTTGTGTAATATCTGTAAATTTAGATTTATAACAAAATATCAATTGCAAACTCATTTTAAAATACACACTGGTGAAAAACCTTTTTCGTGTCGTTTCTGTGAATTTAAATGTATAAGAAAAGGAAGTTTGAAAAGGCATATGAAGATACACACTAGAGAAAAACCTTTTTCGTGAATCATCTGGTAAAATGTGTGCATATTATGTAAATATAAAAGTGTAACATATAAGTCTAGCTTTTATGAAATTATAGAACAAGTAGAGAAAGCCATCTGTGCCTAGTGTGCCCGCCCTTATGTGCTAATTGAAATTGCATTTATTCTAAGGAAGCTAATTCAAAAACAAAATATAACAATACTTTAAAATATTAATGAAATGGGAGGTTAGTGGAAACAGACCAGATATTCATGTTTTTAAAGAATAGCTTATGTTTTCCTTTTCGATGTTTATCGTTACCGTTACTGCCTATAAAAGTTCTCTGCTGGACACAGGCTTCCCACATGGTTTGCTCATGCTCGCCCAAATTTAATTTTAGTTGTTATTAGTAAGACGCTGCTGCCTGCCTCCTGGTTTATCTTCCTCCGTCGCCTCTTACGACACCCACGGGACGATATGGGCCGTGGATATTCTTACACCGCCGCTACACGGTTCATTTAATTATTATTTGAACTTTACAGTAACTAGTTTTACCCTGATGATGCCGTGATGGCGAAACCGGTTGGTTTTTATAGTTAGTATATTAATAATTAAAAATAAATTTTGTGAAACGTGTAAAAGTGTTTATGCAAATCACAAAAATATCTAGTTTTACTCAAAAGCAACCGGCCACAGGTAATTTTAGTTATGAATAAGTCTAATACACCTAAGTTTCATCAACCGCAATCGGCTGCACCTAACTGTGGCCAGCTAAACCTCAGTGTAACCGAATTTCCGCTTTTAGCCGTAATATATATCGCACCATCGGTGGAATAAGGGCACAAATGCATGTTTTGTAATTTTTCACTAGAGACATTCTAAGATTTTTGTAGAATAATATCGAGTTTGTCTGCTTAAATTGATTTTAGGTCATATATATTTTTTGAGTGAAGTAAGCTTTACACTTTTGCGAATTTAGGTAGGTACTTTACAGGAGTAAATAATTTATTATTTGTACTATAATTTAAAAAATAATACTTTTGATGTGCACTTTTGCCCTTTTTGCACCAAAATTTAAATAACTTTGTAATTATGACCTTAGTAACACATTCTTTTTAGATGATTTATGTAATAAAACAATACTCTATTTAGAAAAAGTCGTATATTTAAGTAATATTTTCTTAATCCTTACTTATAGTGCCTTATTTTACGTAACTAACAAGAAACATTTTCTTGGAATGTGTCATTAAAATAAACCATTATAAAATTGTTCATAGACTTTTGCAACAATGTTTGAAGCAATCAGTTGACGAATGTCTTCTTTTTTCCGATCGGGGATCGGCAACTTTTCAGTGTACAACACATTTAATATAATGTCTTTCAGCTGTTTTCTATTAGCAGTCCGGCCTATTTTGACATTCGCTTTTGTCCAGACGACTGATTTATAGCTGTTTCTGAATTGGTATGTCTCTGACCTTTTTGTGAACTTTATGTCTTTCATTTCGGATAATTTGACATTATTTCTCTCAATATTTTTGTTAAGATTCAAGTTGACTTCATCAGCTAACAGCTTTAAATCAAAGAATAAATCGAAGTTCATTTCTTTGACTATAAATTTGTCGCCGCTTTTTTTTGCGTTTCTGATGAGACTTATATATTTGACTGGAGAGTATATAGGACCTGCTTTCTTGGCCCGTTTAATGTTCTTCTCAATGACGGAATGAAAAGAGTCAGCTTTATTCTGAGTATGTCCTCTAATGAGGAATTTGTGAGTAATTGATTTGATGGGCAATGTATTAACAGCATAATAATACATTCCGAAAACGAATCTGAAATTAAAGTTTACATTTATGTGAAAAAAATATTGTGATTGTGACGATCAAAGTAACAAACAAGCAAGTAATTAGGATAAACTTCCATCTATGTATTCTCTAGTTGTATTCGCCCTTAGGTAATGACTCTCCGTCCGTGGGATCGAATTTATGTGGTCATGAACTGATTGTATTTCTTCATCAGTAAGTTTACAATGTTTGCCGTGTTTTCCACGTTTATCAGTAAAACTCACACTCAAAGCATGAATAGATACACTGTCAATTACATTTCGTAAAGTTTTTTCACCAATAACCAATGTATTTAGCAAAAATGTCCGACAAACCCTAACTACTTTTCCATCTATTATAAAGTAGAAGCTCGAGTTTGGTTTTCTTGGTTCCTTACAGGTGCTATTAACAGTGACTGTGACTCTTCGGGTTGCAGGATGAATTTGTTTGACACAGGACGCAAGAAAATCTCTTTGTCTTTGATGTGTTCCCAGTTCCCAGTAGGATTTAAAAATGATGTTCCTCTTTTCAGAAGAAACTTTAGTGGAACACGATAGTCGGCATTTGTTAGTGCAAGGAGGAAGAATAGATTTTGCTGCTACAACTTTTCCTCTCTTTGTTATATACTCTAGGCCACTGTTCTTTAAATGCTTCGATATAACTTGTTTCCACACACTCATATTTCTTTCACATTTTCTAGACCGTTTTCTATTCGATTCTAGGACAACATTATCCTCATTTGTGCGGAAAGTTGGTTCTGTTTCAATATTACCTTCATCATTTTCCAAATCAACCGTAATAGGCTGAGGCGACCTGGTGCTGGAACTAGAAGAGCTACTGCTGGAACTAGAAGTGTTGCGTTCAATCTCCCTCGCACAACTTGGAGGCTTATATTCTGAACCTTCTGATGGTGAAAAACCTCCATTATTTGAGGAATCGGAATCCTCATTACCTTAAAAACAGGAATATTAATTTAATTAGTTAAATATTATTAGCACGTAAAACAATATTACTTTCTAATTGATTCAATTACCATCTTTGTACTTTATCAATTAATATAAATAATTATACTACTAGATTAATATTTGTTTTGCATTCATACCTGAGGTTTTATTTATAATGGGTGGGTTTACTCCGTCCGAAATATCCACTAACATAGGCTTCTGAATTTTATAGTCATTGCTGTCTGTGCATTTCTCAACCGTAATATCATCTGTATCCGATGCAGTTATAGTGGGTGTATTTACTGCTTCTGAAGTCTCACTGTTTAACAGCATAGGATCCTGATTTTCAAAGTTATTACTATCTATCCATTTTTCAACCATTGTTCTCTTCGACGAATCTTAAAATAAATATCAATATAAATCTATTCTGATTAAAATTTTAAGTAAAAGTTAATATAAATAATCTAGGTCAGCAAAAATAATAGAATTTTCATACCCGTCGATGAATTAATGTTTGGAATAGTTATTGCCGTATTGTGGTCCTTTTCATTAACACAGGTGTATTCTAAATACTCAGCAATCTGAGGCTCCTCAGTAGCCTCGGTATGCCTATTGGCTTGATCATCAAGAACCATACTTAAAATTTTTCTTCCTCGTGATTCCATTATGTTCTGAAAAAATTATATTATTATCTCAATGAAAAGTTCAAAAATAATATAAAAATATAATCATAATAACCTTGACTAAGGGTTAATTAATATCATACACTACAATAAAAAAATAGATAAGCAATTTGGAATGAAAAATCATAAATGTAAATAAAAAATATATTATATGTACCTAAATACTACAGGAATTGGAATGACAAAGTCAGATTTGTATTGAAGACTACGAAATGTGCACATGTTGGACATACAAAGGCACAACTGCTTAAACGACTTTGTACTTCCAAACATGTGCCGATATAATAGGCATAAGTACACCAAAATGTGACTGTCTTTCCCGAACCTCAAACAAAAAAGGGCATATTTACCTTAACGGCTTTGACGGTCCAACACACAACTACACAACGCGCAACTGACCAATGCGATTTCGTCGTTCCAATATTTTACAAAAAACGCACCAATAAGACAAAGGCACAATAGCGCTCTAGCGACATGAGACTGAACTTAATAAGCGACTGTTCCACCAGTTAAAGGGATGTTTTAGCACATTGGCATACTTAAATCATTTTCAGATTTTTTGTTAGTTGTGTCCTTGTTCCACCGATGGTGCGATATATCGAAACTTTATCACAAGAGCCTACTTCTGATCTCACAAATACATCAGGATAAAGTTAATTGTTAAAAATCAAAGATATTTTATAGGTCCAGATACCGTGTTGTTAATACACTGCACCGTTCATAGTGATGCCAGTCTTTGATTCATGTGTGCGTGAGTACCACGTGACGCGTATATCTTACGTACCATGGCTGCATTAATGTGCGTGACTTCGGTAATAACAGTGCGGATCGATTACCCAAAAAATGTGTGAGATTTTATATTTCATTCATATTGACGTACCTATTGATTCTACGAGTATAAAATGTGTGTGCGAGGCGTGTGCATTTGTGTGCGTGTGTGTATGGAGATATGGTTGGTTATGTGTTCTATGTAGGTACGAATATCGCATTAAAATATTGAAGATATGTAATAAAACCTATAATTAATGTAACAGTTAAAAATAAATAAAAAAGCACAGTAGATATTTATGTACGTAACATTATTTATAATCTATTACTATTATTATTAAATATATACAGAGTACTATAATTTTGTACTGTAGAACACAAAATATAGCCGCTTTTTACGAAGACATTAATTATTTTTCAATCCTAAGTAAAAGGACGAAAAAAGTAAATTTTGTTAAGCGTAAACTTCGGCCAAGAGATGGCAAATATTTAATTTTTTAAAATTGCTCCGTTCCGTTGCTGCGTGAAGGAAAGACAAAAACAAATAAACAAAAAATCACACTTTCACATTTATAATATTTTATTAGTATGGATTGTCAAGAATGATAGATAAACTTTTTAACAGTGGTAGAGCCATGCGGCAGCTTTTGCTGTCGCACGGATGGACCGGCTCGTACCGGGGTAGTACCACGACCTCACAGAAAACCAGCGTGAAGTAGAGGTTTACCTCTGCGTTTCGCTTGGTGAGTGCAGGTGGCCGGAGGCCCTTTTTACTGGAAATGAGGCATTCCATCTTAGTCCTCACGGGTGACAACGCATCTACATTTTGATTTGTAAAAGAGGATAGATGTAGATGTCTATGGGCCGCAGCAACCACTTACCATCAGGTGGACTGTGTGCTCGTTTGTCACCCTTATCCTATAAAAAAAAAAAACTACGATGCGACTTAGGGACCTTCAAGAAAAGAGCCTACTCCTTTTTAAAATGCCGGCAACGCCTCTGCAATTCCCCTGGTGTTGCAGTTGTTCATGGGCGGTGGTAGTCACTTACCATCAGGTGAGCCGCATGTTCGTTTGCCCCCTCTCCTATAAAAAAAAACTTGAAACCGGTTAACCATGAGCTTTTTGAGGGTGGAACTATACACTCGCGCTCTTTCTCGCTCTAGTAAATAACGGTTCTGAGTTAGCAAAAAGGATAGAAGCACAGGAAAGTGCGATTCCGTGCTGCCAGATGTAGTTCTACCCTAAGCCTTAAAATGGTTTAACTCTTTAGATTAGGTAAAATCTGTAAAATTAGACCGTTTAAAACCCTATACAGATAACCTTTCCGGTTGATCATGACATTAAAAAATGGTAATAACATTTCATAGACTAGGCAACACTCGAATATTATTGCGCAGTATTATTACTTGTATTGACATTTAGCTTTCATATTCTTTTACAAAGAAATACACCACCAAATTATATAGTTACTTACGAAAAGTGATTTTCTTATCCTTATCTTTTTTCCAGAAGTAATTTTTACATGATTTCACAGCACAACCAGTCATATTGCGAAATTAAAAACACCGGTGCGTGATATACGTTCGCAGTGAACGTCGCTGGCATAATGGCGGAACCAAAGACTACAATGTTATATAGGGAAGGCGGAACGATCGAACGAATACACCAGTATTGGCGCCTTTGAAATGGAAGTGTTTTAGGCGCGCGTACACGGTATCTGGACCTATAAAACATCTTTGTTAAAAATATTATAAGTGTGAGAGCGAATGTTCATCTTGCTGTCTTGCTTACGCAATGAATCATTATCAGCAATAAAACACCGTAATGCACTATACATTCAATATAGCGCAATCGCAATCACACACTGGTGTAACGTGAAGGACATAATTACATGACAACACCAAAGTATGCCAATCAACAGTAACAACATCTCAGTGTAACACAGAGCAGCCTTAGCAACACCATATTCCTCACCTGCATCAGAAGAATCACCACAACAGACAGAACCACTATACTGCCTTAGCATAACTGCTACGTTGAATGACTTAGACGTACTCTCCCACGCACAGTGCCTGCAGTGAACTTTATAATTTTAATTAAAATTTTTAGTACTACACAAACGGGTGGGGGGTTTTTAGATATTCCCTCAATTCCACCACGCCACTATCGTTATGATACTCAGTTAGAGTAAAACAACCTCTTGCTTACTCTCGATTCAACGGATTTTTAGACGCGTCGATATATTTTTTTTTATTTATTTAAGCTTTCATGCACAAAGTTGTACATAAAGCCGGACTTAATGCCATAGGGCATTCTCTCCCAGTCAACCATTAGGCTAAACAGAGATATACAAACAAGAGGCGGTGCAGCAGTAATCAAAATAGAAAGCGTTAAAAAAATATTGTATATACATATTGTTGAGCTTGAGATTCGAGATAATTAAAAACTGCCGAGTGAATTACCAAAATTGACTATTTAATTACAGAACACTAATTACAACTTAAAATCACACTAATAATAAAACACAATCACTTTAGTTCGCAGTTATTACGCTTCGAAGTATTCTCTTGTATCGCCAATTCAATACTGCCCCGGTCGTGGTCTATACCGGCCTTATATAGGGCCTCAGATAGTTTCCAGAACCTTCTACTGTAGCGACATCTAGAATATTCGAGTACATATCGGTCCCGAAATTTCTGGAAGGATCTCGACTCTACTAGTTCTGCTACTCGACACTAGAGGGCGCTAGTGTAACTAGTGTTGCCATGTACAAGACATTAATAGTGGCGCGCAATACTTTCATTTACTCGACACTAGAGGGCGCTAGTGTAACTAGTGTTGCCATGTACAAGACATTAATAGTGGCGCGCAACACTGCCCCCTCCTAAGGCATGCTCGTCCCGAGCATTATTGGCCCCATAATAACGCGCCAGTCGATCCACATAGACAATCTTAGGATTACTTCTGGCACCTTTCTGTATCCGGTAGGTTACGTCATTGATCCTTGTCACAATCCGGTACGGTCCGTCCCATTTAGCTTGAAGCTTAGGAGATTTCCCTTTGCTGCGAACTGGATTGTGTAACCACACTAGTGAACCTTCATCAAACCCCTTGTTGTTCATTTTGCGGTCATACCGTGTTTTCATCTTCTCAGACGTTTGCTGGCCCGTCTGTCTGACGTGCTCATAAATGTCATTCATTTTGTTCCGCAAGTCATTTGCATAATCGGTTATACTGCGTGGGGCATCAGGTGGTATTCCGGTGATCAGGTCTGCAGGCAGCCGCAATTCTCTCCCAAAGTTTGCGAAAGCTGGTGTCACTGATGTACTTTCGTGAACAGCGCTTCGATATGACAACAAAAACGGTTGTATGTGCCTGTCCCAGTCTCGTTGCCGTTTTTCCACAACTTTTGCTAGGTACCTCTCCAATGTCTGATTAAATCTTTCTACCAGTCCATCAGATTGTGGATGGTAAGAAGTTGTTCTTGTTTTCTGAGTACCCATAACTCGGCAAATTTCCTGGAATATTTGAGACTCGAAATTCCTTCCTTGATCGCTGTGAATCTCTAAAGGTACTCCAAAACGACAGAAGACTTCATGAACTAGTTTATCTGCAACTGTTGAAGCTTCTTGATTTGGAATGGCGAAGACTTCTGGCCACTTAGTGAAGTAATCCATCACAACCATGAAATACTTGTTACCACTTTCAGTTTTTGAAAACGGCCCCGCAACGTCAATGGCTATCCTCTCCCATGGTGCACCAACATTGTACAATTTCAATGCGCCTCTACTACGAATTTGAGGTCCCTTTACAGCCGCACAACTTATACATTTGCGGCACCAGTCCTCGACATCGTCACGACAGTGGACCCAGTAAAACCGTTCTCGGATCTTCAGGAGAGTTCGTTTAACTCCCAGGTGGCCTCCTGAACAATCACTATAGTACAGCTGTAGAACATCCGGCACTTTAGCCTTAGGGACAACCATTTGCAAATGACAACTGTCTCCCCGACCATTTTCCCATTTACGGCACAGGACTCCATCCTGAATCAGCAAGCTGTCCCATTGGGCCCAATAGCTTTTCGTGGTCGAACTCATTGCTGAGACGTCGCTCCACTTGGGCTTAGGAGTACTGGCCTTCATCCATTCCAGAATCGGCTTAATGTCGGAATCTTCCTGCTGTGCATGTTGTAGGCTTACCTTCCATTCATTG